TGGATAGAGGGATGAATGAATGAATGGGATAAGAAATGAGAAAAGGGATGGATGAATGAATGAATGGATGGGGAAAGAAATGAGAAAAATAATAAATAAATAGATAAATGAATGGATTAATAAAATATGCCTGAAGAAAGGATTTATAGGTTTTCACAAAAAGACAACGTCAATGAACAAAGTTACAAGTCAAATGTCAATCAAGTCAAAGGATACAGAAGAACAATGACAAACCAGAAGAACAAAACCAGTTGCAAAAGCCAAGGGACCAATGGAAAGAACAGAGTTGATAGCATGGAAGCCAGTGCCCTAGAAATCAAAGAATCAATCAATATTATTACTTACTTATCATTAAGTATAGTTATTGACACTTTATTATATCAGCAAAAGACAGTAAGCAATATATTCTATAAACTTTAAGTAGCATTTCGTAATAAAATGCTTTTATCATACAAAATTAATTATGCTTACTTGCTGGCTTCACTGATCATCTCGACTGCAATTTTAATGCGACTGCACAATACCAACACAATCAGCAACACAATGACAAGAAGAATAGTGAGAAGAATACCTGCCATAAACAGAGATTCATCAGATATCATTCACAATAAAACCATGCTAGGCCATCACAACCATTAGTAACCATAACAGGGTTTGGGATACATTTTCAGCACAAAATTCCAGTATATTTTGAGTACCTATTTTAAGCATAATATTTTATTTTCAAGTGCTAGTTTTGTTGAGTCAAAGTTTTCACAAACATGCGCAATGATGATTAAATTGTACAACATACCAAGAGCAAGCCATGTTTCCTTATAGTCGCCATAGTAAGATAGGTCAAAGGTTAGTTTTAGTTCAATACTTTTACTGGTCCCTTTATCATTGATTTCTTTGAACTTGGAAAAACACCAATACATGCCTGGAATGAATGGATGAAGCACATGTCAACAATTTATAATCAGGGAAAGGAAGAAATGAAAGAAAGAGGCAACTTTAAAGGTTTATAGAGACTCTAAAGCATGGTACTAAATATACATTACGACTAAGTCAATGAATTATTATTATTACCAAATATTATAAGACCAATAACGGCAAGAATGGTGAACCAGATTAGAGGACCAGCTATCCATCTGATTGGATAAAATAACAATTACTTGTAATCATGTAATATCACCATTAATCCTATAATCTCAATCAATGATATCATTAATAGCAGTACCTGGTAATGACGATATATATCAATGCTAATACCATGGCCAGAATGAAGCCACTACAGAAAGGAGAAAATGTGTCAACAATCCGTCAACTAGTCCTTTATTAGTCCATTAATTTTGGTTCTGACGATTGACCTTGTAAATCCCAATGCAACACTAAGGATCAGAAGTACAGTATATTGGATTTATCCTCCTTATCAAACAACTTACATGAGAATCCAGTACCACACAGCTTTGATGTCATCAATAACCTTCATACCAAAGTTTTGCGCATCCATGACAAGCTTCAGATTTCTGTTATTTTATAAAGAAATCAAGAATAATTTAGCTCTACTGTAGCTTTGTAATATAAATATTTTTTTAATAAACTCTTGAAATGGAGATCAAATTAAGAAAATAAATGCAAAATAATAAATAAATAGCAAAAATGTTTTATGTAACACTGCTTGGATGGACCAGAGTCTTGAGAAACACGAACATTGCAGCTATCTAATTGGTCTGGTATATTTCTTAGTTTTATCTGTGTGCATATCTTGTTGAGTACTTACTTAATTCCCTCTAAAATAGAGGTACCAGTGACATTTTGTCCTGTTTGGGAATTACCAGTCACATACTGGCCAAGGTTACCAAGACCAGTCGGAATGCAACGGTACAGTACTAGATATATCAAACAAAAACAGCTCCAACATTGTAAAATAAAAGACATTAAACAAAGCTACTGAGAGCACATKGAATGAAACACTCAAAAAGGTCAACATACTTTGAGAGCTTGCTAAGTAGTAAGGAGCACATTTGCCTTCTTTTACAAGCTCTAACTTGGTTTGAATCTGGAAGATGACAAATTATACAGTCATTCAACACGGCAACTACTCAATGGACTTCATCTTCAAAGGAGATTTTTATTGTATAATATGTTTTTTATCTCCACTGAAGTTAATCTACAAAACTTAACAAATGCAAACTTACGTTGTTGTCTTTGGGTGTGATTCCTGGCTTACAAATCATGTCTTTAGCATTAAGATCTACAGAGGCACCAGGTTGGTTCTTGGACGGACATTTGCTTACACACACCTARTGATAGACATGATAGATCAATTAATAGAGAGTTTWAGCATCACGTTGACKGCAAACGGCTAACGGCAGAGMTGAACCAATGCCCTAAGAATTACGTGCCTGACCTTGTGATTTTRGTAGTCATTTGAAAGAGCGGCTTTTCACRATTATGGCAACCTCAAACTAACCCACTYTCGCGTTGAAACTGCAAAGTTTTACTCCAAAAAAGCAGATCATGTGATCTTTTCTGCCGTTTGCCGTGAACGTTATGCTAATTAAACCTCTCTATTAATTTAATAATAACCTAAAATAATGTCAAATTGGTAAATAGAGCATTCGTACCTGTGGTGTGTGGCATTTTGGTGAGCCAAAGTTCTTTGCAAGATTAGTTGGTGCAACACACTTGGTTATATCAAAAAACACCAAGTACTTTTTGTCTCTGGAAAAATGGGATAAAATACAATACTTCAAATAAAATGAAGACATGAATGGAAAATTAAATAAAATGATTGAAAGGGTGAAAACTGTACACGAATGAATAAATTAAGTATAATCAAAAACATAAATAATATTACTAATATTGTTCTGAAATGAATAACTTTATGAATGAATGGAAAAATAAATAAGTGGAAGGATAGATGAAAACTGTGAGTGAATGAATAAAAAAATATAGAACTTTTAAGATGCTTACGGATAGTCTCTTCCACAGGATTTCCCTAAAAATAAAGAAATTTCTTGTTAAATGAAAACATCACATACAGTTGCTTGGAATTACCCCACACTATATGTTGATAATGTTTTTGTGTTCAAATGGATAACATTTTTTCGTTACATCTCAAACAGGATACAAATTTCCTTCACATAGAAAAGTAATCAGGAAAGAAATCACAAAATGACTAATAAGAATAATAAAAGAATTTATAATCTTTACCTTGGGAATCAGTTGGTAAGAGGAGCCTGTTCAAATCCCCCTCTACAAAGGCGACTATTCCCACAATAACCATACCAACAATATAGCCAACAAACAACAGGCAACAGATAATGTCTGTACATGATCTAAAAATAAAGTCAAATAGAATTCAGCAGATAACTCTCTAAGTTAGTATGGACAAACTAATGTGCTTAATATTTTCATCTTAAAAGGTATCTTTGCGAGAGAGAATCAAGGTCATTGTGTGTGTTAACTATAAGAATAAATGTATGTAGCTTTATGTTTTTTTTCTTTTTCGTATCTTGGTAATACCCTTCAAGCTGCAATCCGACTTTTATTTTAATTTAGAGCTKSAAGACCTCTGAATCCTAGACATTTTACTTGGGACATACAAAGTTACAATTTCACAACACAACAGCCACTCGGTAGAATATCATGCCCCCAAGCCCCATTTACAATATTGATTGGCTATTTTTTCTTTTGATTCTTTCATGCTTCAGTACTATTGTATGTTGTGTACAAGGACAACATTGACCGTTGGGGGTGGGGACTGTAAGGCCAACTCGTCAGTAGAAACTAGGGAACTTGACAAGATGTGTTAAATCGAGTAACTGTTTATCCTGTCCAAATGTATATTATTGTCCATGATTGAAAATAGAGGTATTTAGTGTTGTTTTACCTGTCTTCTATGGGTCCTTTGAATTCAGGATCATGGCTCCTCTTTTTCCCTATATAAAAAATATTTTAATGTGTTAGAATTGGAGCTGAGCTAGTTTATATAAAAGGGTAAACTAGAGTGCTTTTTGCAGGATAAAAAATTATTTCTCCTTAAAAAAATCCATATAAAATCTATGTAACTTTTTTACAAGTGGTCTCTGTTGGGTTGAGGTTTACACCTGTACTTCCTATCCTAAATACACAGCCCTTCCCCCCTTCCCCCCAAAACACATTATTGCTGACAAAATAGTGTCTGGATTGTTACAGATGGCAAGCAAGATTAAACAGCAACTGGTGGCCAATTCATGAAAATCTTAATAGTCAATATATTTACATTTTCTCACCTTTAATAGTAAGATAAAAAAAATCTTACTGAGAGCAAAGATACTTTTGATTTGAAACTAAAGAATTCAAACGAAATTTGTGCAGCATAAGATTTTTCTCTTCAAATATGATTAAATATTCTTTAAAACAAATTGTCTCTTCTTACATTTCTTTAGTATAAAATTATATATGTAAAACGACGACAGGTGAAAAATTATCCTTCTATTTTAACTGTGTTTTAATAAACTGTGTCATCTTTATTCTTTTATTAAAATATTAAGCTAGTGAAGCTTCAAGAGAGAAAACTTACAATGTTTACAAAATAATGCGGGAAGTTTATATGGCTGTTTTGTGTAAGTTTTGTGCGCAGCGAAGCACACCAAAATCCACCAAAATGCTAATTTGACAACTGAATAACAATCAACATTTTGTCATGCAAAAATATAAGGCGGATGCTTACAAAAAAAATCTTGTGAATTGGGATATGAGAAAGCTTTCTTATGTGAGAAAAAATTAGCAATAAACGGCTAAAAATTGGAAGTCAACTGTGAGTGAAAATTAGACAGAATTCAAAACAGAATGAACCGCATGCAAGACGATAAAACGCAATGAACAAAGTTGTCTCGATGTTCGATCGAAATTTTAGCTCCCATAGAGTAAGAAAACTTCAAAATTATTATTTATTCAAACCAAAGGAGTTCACTAAAACACAATCAGTCTTATTCGCGTCAAAAGAATGCACATGTCAGGCACGTCGCTTGATATGCACGACCTTTCGCGCCTTCAAAACAACAAATACCCTCCCTAACAAAAACATAAAACTATTGCTAAGAATAAAGCCCTAAGAAAGCAKTTTTCATATAACAGATTACACTGACGACACAGCATCAATTTGTGATTTTTTATGTGTTTCTCTGCTCACCTAAGTCGATTTCGTCGGCCATTTTGTTATACGAGTTGAGCTTCGTGAAGCTTGGGTTGGTTATTCGACTAGTTTATCTCGTAAATGATTAATACAGAACCACAAAACCGCATAGAAATTTCCTAGCCTCAAAATACTTCAACAGAAGTGCTTGAACGATAGGTTTAGCGTATCCTTTGGCCGTTATGCCACTAACTTATGTCCAAAGTCATGAATTCTTCTTGTCACTAATTTGGAACTGCCTGACATGGGTGGGGTGGGTRCGTCGAAATTTGCCATGCAAGATTCAAATGTTATTTTTTTCCTGCCATTATCTGATTATCATCAAATTTGACAGTTAAATGCAATTTAAATGCAGAAATAATATATATTATACTATATATTATTTATAAGAGTACAAATTTATGCTAAAACTATGTTATCTCTTAAAATATCGTAGTAACTCTTGCGTGACAAATATCAATTTAAACCTCAGCTTAAAAGCCTCCTTCATACTAGTCGTAAATTTAATTGATCTTTTTTACAATGTCCGATTACAGAATTATAAACATACCATCTTTCTTATCAAGGAGCTTTAGATTTTCTGTTGGAAAGAAAAAACAATACACATTTAGTTTCTAAATGTACAAAGAGAGACGTACCTGCATACGCAATGTTTTAAAGCTCTTTGGTCATCGGTTGACTTTTATTTTATACAAGTGATATTATCAATATTTTCSGGCAGCAACGATATTTTACCTCAGCAATATGTAAAACGAATTAAAAAGAAATTTCCAAATCATCAATTAAAATTTATGAATGTATAATTTAGCAGGCAGATTACATGTATAAAGTTCAGGTTAAACAAATTCAATTCCGTTTTATGGTACGTATACAGTACTTAATGAATAAACACTATTTTAAACCTTGCAAAAGTTTTTTTATAACTTCCTTGCTTAGGTTATATTCTAGGCCACTCGAAAATCTCTTGATTTTTATCTAGCTTGATCCATTCAAATGAGCAACGTAAATACACTGGGTCTGTATTAAGTTTTCATAGCTTTTTCTGGAAGAATTTTGACACTGACCTTTCTTTTCCTTATCGCCTTCTTTCTCTGCCATACTCTCTTAGAAACCCAGCAAAAACAGGCACAGAATTAGCAGCGCTAGGAGATGAAATCGATTGCAAATCACGATAATCCACCGACGCCCAGACCTGACAGGGTTTAATGGTAATTTATGTAACCTCGTGATGATTGACGTGCATTCTAGCGTGCAATAAGTTCAATTGTCATGGAAAATAATGTTGGAGGGAAGGCGATTGTGCTATGGACAATATCTACTGGTACAATAGCAAATAAAGCGAAAATGCAAGAAATAGTAAAATTTTAGTTTGCTTTTATTGATAGTAATAATTAAAAGACCTACCTGCATTCAAGAACTTTTGTATTTGTTATTTTTGCTTGGAAAAGATGTTATTGCAAGTTGCTTTCMAATTAGTTCAAATTCAAAGATGTCAATTCTTCCAATGTGAGAAAATCATGGAAAACTGGTTGTCGATTTACCTATACTCCTTACCCTACCCCCCTGAATACACAGCCCCACCCCAGCMTGCACAAAATATCTCAAAAATACACATTATTGATGACAAAATAGTTTGGAAAACTGGTTGTCGAGTGCATGAGCCTGAACTATTTTTTCAGATTTGAAAAYAAATCAAAACTATTGCTATAAGATAACAATCAGCAAAGGTGTGTTCTGTTATCTCTAAAAGTGTTTTTAAATATTAATTGTCTTACAATAAATTGCATTAAATTTCTTATAAAAGCAACATATATTCCATATCCAAAATGTTTATTTTCAAACAAATTAAAAAACCCTGATGTTACTTATAATCTTCTGCTGATAAGAAAATCTTTTYGAWTGGGGTACTTATGAACTGWTCARTGCWCTTTGMAATGCTGTTTCTTTGTACTTCATGGTTGCCATGCAAACTTAAACTCCATCAAGGAAACAATAATTTCTTTAGTTGCATATCACTTCTTGTAGTGTCATTTTGGTTAATAACACTGTACATGGGTTGTTCTTTTTACCCCAGGTAAAGTTGAACAGTATTGTTTTCAATGAATGACATATGCTCACTGGAAAAGATGATGCAATAATAAAAATTGCAAAGATTGCAGTATCTCTACATGCCATTAAGCAGAAGGGTTTTAGGATTAGTTATCCCATCATTAATTCCAAACTGACCAAGTAGATCAAGGTGGTATAGCAAAAAGTGTCAAAATAATGGGACACAATAACATAATAGTACACATGATTCGAGAAAGATAAAGATTTGCATTAGCTTATTTCATATGTAAACATTAAATCAGCATTCAAATCCATCACTAACATGACATACAACTTCAAAGAAGTATGTGAATTGGTTGCAAAACCAAACTTTTAAAATGATCTTATGAACATGAACAAAGAAAAGGAATTCCTTTCACAATAATATCATACAGCAAGTTCAATTGTCAGCTCTTGTTCTTCAGCTTTTCTCTCAGATTTAAAAATTTCAAGACAGGTCCTAGCTTCATGAAATAAAGTAGAGAGCTTTCTTCAATTAGCATCAATGCATTSCCATCAATTTCCTGTTCCTCAATAAAAGCAACCATGGCCTCAGAACACTCCTCTTGATTTTTGTAGTACTTAGCCACCTCAGCTACYGACCATTTAGATACATTTGTACTATGTGGTGGTTGACCTCTTTGATGCAAATTATCTAAATTTGAGTCTTCTGCATTGACGTTATCCTTGGGTTGTTTTAAGTGCTGCTGTTTTTGGTGAGAATGTTCTATATTTGTATGCTGTGAAYTGGTGTTCTGGTGCTGCATATATTGACCTCTTTTATGAGAGTTATCCAAATTTGTTTTTTCCAAGTATTTTGTTATATGATTAATTGTTGAGTGATCCTTTGGTTTATTTGAAGGATCCACTTTAGGTTTAGTGACAGGATGTGACGACTCTGTTTTTTTAAGTCCACCAAAGCTGGCTGCAATACCAGTGTGCTTTGGAGTATCCTTAGGTTTTGCAGTTGGTGACTTGTTAAAGGTTGATGGATTGACAGGTGTCTTGTTTACATGTAAACTTTCAGAACCGTTAATATATTGATTTCCATTATTACTAAACCTAATATCTTGTGAAGTAGAAGGGAGGACGTATGTTCTTGGAGCTTGTGTA